GAATCTAACTATAAGGGCGAATAACTACACAAATATATTAGGCAAAATTACAATCATTGACACCAACTTTGTGAAGTTTTTTAATTATTGACACCAACTTATATCACCTACTAAATTAACACCAACTGGCAACAAAAATTACAAAAATGACACTGAACAACTAATTTTACGTAACTTTCAACCCTTATACGAGTATAAAATTCCTTTTCAACAATCATTTGCTACAGATAGTTCTTAATGTGTTGGAAAGATAAGACTATATAGATGCCATATGTAGAGTATTATTGAATGTTTAGTGCCTTTAATGTCAATTTTATTCTATTTTGGGCAAGTTGGTGTCAATTTGACAAGTGACACAAGTTCGTGCCAATAATTGCAACATTCCCTTAAATTGGCGTCAATGAGTGTAATTTTGTCAATATATTGCTAGTAACAAAAGTATTATTGGGTAGGAAAAAAAATGTACAACACATTGGATAAACTGCTATGTTAGTTAAAGTAATGCATATAGGTGATACCGTAAAACAAACAAATTTGCAGTATATAATAAGTTTAAATTCATTAAACACAAACAAATACCAATAAAATAAATTAAAAATCTAGTTTTAAGTAATGACCAATATTAATACAGATGAATGTCGTAAGCACAAGCAGATTCCAATTACTCCCTTCGTTTCATAATATTAGTCTCATATACTATTTTGGGTGTTTCAAAAAGATCTACCTATATTAAATATGTTACATTTTTAACTTAATTTTTTTGGAATTAATTGGTTGTGGATTGATGACATGACACTAAGGCCTTGTTTAGTTCAACTTATTTTTACTTATTTCAGAAAAAATAAGTTCAGATCAGATCAGATTAGAAAAAATAAGTTCAGATCAGAACATCGTTTTATGTGTGTTTTTTATCGCTAAATATTCTTAATTTCGTAATGAAAAAAATTGTGAAAATTACATATTAATAAACTACACATTATTACGAATCTAATAAGATCCCACTTGATATATTTTTTCCTTATAGATTATCGTACACTTAAGTTCAAAGTTTGGTCAAATCAGACAATCAGATCAGATCAGACCAGACCAGACCAGACCAGATCAGATCAGATCAGTAAAAATAAGGTGAACCAAACAAGGCCTGAGTAAGGAAATCTCTACCTTGAATTATGCAATTATGACTTATGCTTTCCCAAAAAAAAAAAAAAAAAAAAAAATCAAAAAACTTAAATAAGGTAAACTAATTATGAATTATTTTGTACTTTAATGTTAGATTCAAAATATTCTTCTCTTCTTATTTTATGTAACTAATTCCATATGGGACTAACATTATAAAACAGAGGAAGTAAGAAAATAAACTTTATTATTCAGGTAATGCCCAAAATAAACATAGGTAAATGCCTTAAATACAAATAGATTATATAAAACACTGTTTTCCTTATATAATGACCAAAAATAGTTTAGGTCATTACCTAAGCCACAAACAAGTTTGCGAACAAATCATCTGATTTTTACGGATCAAACAGATGTAGAGGGGGCTCGAAAAGAAAAACGAAAGGTTGTCTTTTCCGATTATATAGTCGAAAGAACGACACCCATCATTCAACCTAAATCGCTATGCCACCGACCACCGCGATATTGCAAAACACTTATGCGATTCTTCCTTAACAAATACTTAAAAATGAGATTGTTGTTAAGATTTTTTAATGAACACAAACCTAAAATCAAAAACTTCAAAAAATGAAACGCAAAAACACAATTGATTTACCAATTTTAATCCCGATTATAGGCCGAATTTGAGAATTTATCAACAATTAACATTGATTTTGGGAATGGGTGGCTAATGTATGACATGAATGAAGAACATTGATGAACAATTTTAATTTTGTGATTTTTGATTATAGTTATAATTTCAAAAATTAATTAATATTATAAAAATAAATTGGAAAAATTGTCAAAAATAATACAAACTTTGAGCGGTCCACCAAAAACAAGTCAATCTTTTAATTATTTCTAAATAATACAAACTTTGGGGGGTGTCCGCTTTAAAGAAGTTATGACCTGTTGGTGACTTGTTTAACAGGTTTATGGGACACGTGTCATCGTTTTACTGGTTTGACAATTTTTTTTACATCTTTTTCAATTTATTTAATGTTTTAAATTATTAAAAGATTTAAATAATATTAATTATTATTATAAAAAATACCACCCATTATTATAAAAAATCCTAATATATTTTTGAAAGCATTATTATTATTATTATTATTATTATTATTATTATTATTATTATTATTATTATTATTATTATTATTATTATTATTTATAATTATTATTTATTTATCTATTTATTTAAAATGAAAAAAACCCTTTTTAAGAAGAAAAAAAACCACCCATCACCACCCCAGCCCAGCCAGCCACCATCCCCTTCCCCACCGCCAGTCGCCACCCAGACTCTCTCCATCCTCCTCACGCCGGTCGGCCAGCCCCACCCCTTCCCTTGCCCCGATTCAACCCCTCTCCTATTCCCTTGCCCCGATTTGACCCCTACCCCTTCCCCCTAAGCGGAACGTGTAACCACCTCCCCTTCCTCCAACGTAAGCCGGCGCGACCCAAACCCGAAACTCCCGATCCAAACCCGATATCCCATAGTCCAAACCATCCCCTATTCGTTAGGGTTTAGGTTTCGGGTTTGGGTTGGGGGTTTTGGGTTCCCGTGATGGGGGAAGAGGTTGTGAGGGGAACCAGCGGGGAAGGGAAAGGGAAGGGTGGGGCTGGTCAGTTGGCTAGCGCGAGGGGGAGGTAGGTGGTTTGGTGGCTGTTGGAGGGGTTGGAAGGGTGGTGGTGGTTGGGTATTTTTAAAAATAATGATAATAATAATAGGAGTTAATTAATTATTTTCTTTTTAACACAAAATTAATTAATTATTTAGTTAGGATTTATTTAATATTTAATTAAGAGTTAAATGGGAAATTAACCATGCTTAAAGTTTTATTAGAAGTAAAGTATATTGTTACGATTTTATTAAAAAGAAATTTAAAAAAAAAAAAAAAGTTATCCGGTTATAAGTTGTAGGTAAATTATCTTGTTTAAAGCGGACATCCCCCAAAATTTGTATTATTCATCTAAAGATTGACTTGTTTTTTTTGCAGACCGCTCAAAATTTGTATTATTTTTGACAATTTTTTCAAATAAATTTTCATAATTTATATTATGTATTTCTTAAAAAAAATACATCTTTTAAAAAGAATACATAAAAAAAAATACAATTTTAATACATTATGGACATTAAAAATAATTCAATATGAAAATAAAAATACAAAATATGGGCCAATCAGATTTCGCCACATCAGCAAATTATGGTTCCTCTTTTAAAGAATGACATTGTAGAATTTTTAATAACTCTTAACGTAATTAGAATTTTGTCTAAATAATACGAGTACTTCGTATTTGCTTGTATCTATATCCATATCATATGATGTACTACGTATAACATATTAGAGTACAATACAAATACCACAAAGAATTTCATGGCACTAGCCACACAGTAGACATTTTTGCCCCTCATTATTTCACTAGCTAGTAGCTACCTCTCTCGCTCCCTTCTGAAACAAGAGAGAGAGAGAGAGCAAGAAGGACTAAGGGTATTTAAGTCTTATCCAATTGAAATTATGAGCGGCTCATGATTTCTTTGGTAGCATTTAGCACACAATTAGTGCATAGTTATCAACTTATCATTAAGCAGATATTAATTGTCACATATTAGATGTCATGTGTAGGAAATCAAAACTATTCAATAATAATTTATTGTTATTGAAAATTTGACAATTATTTTAGGATATTTAAAAAGAGAACATTACATTGTAAGGGATGAAGGAGAAAGAGTCTTGTGAATAACTATATAAAATAATCGCTTTTGGTTCAGCTAACTGACCCCCTTATGAGATTAAGACTTTAAAATTAAAGAAGGAAAGGATAAAGGACTGAAATCCCTAACCTCAATGTACTCATTGTGAACAGTTGATATCATAAGCTTAATGTTTGGAGATAAAAGTATTACCGCTAAACCAACTATTACTCCCATTGATGATTCTACTACTCTTTAATATAAAATATACTAGTATGTATTATCATATGTATGATTTTCTAACATTTATAGTATTAGAAATGTGACAATTAGATCGACGACAGAAAGAAGTTATGGTACGTACAATCTTATTGGAACTCTCTATCCACCTAAAAACCTAAAAAGAACTCTATGAATCTATGATTGTCTTCATTGCAAATAATGAAATAATCCTTCATGTAAGGTTCATCAAAAGCTACGTGCGCCCGACCACAATTTTTTATGGGCATACATTATTGCTAAACAGTCGGAAAAGAAGTTTCTAGCTCAGAAAATTAAACTAATAAAGACAACAACAACCCTATGTGCTATGTTGTCTTGTTCTTACTACAATTTCGTTCATTTTAACATTTAGCTTGTCATTTATTAACTAATTTCCACTCCATTCATTCTATTTTACTATTTTGTATTCCTAATAATGCATGAAATTCATTCATAAAATTCTGTTTTACTATTTTGTACTCATACTAATGCATGAAATTCATTTATATCTTTTATGAATATATACTATTTGAAAAGTTATTAGGTTATTTGATATTAAAAAAAATAACAACCTATTTACGATGAAAGATATATTGAATGGTTCTGGCTAAAAGTTGGATAAATAACTTATTTATTATTGTATTTTTTTTCCCGCGAGAAACCTACTTAAATAAATTATGAACATACTTTAATTTCTTGTTTTTGGTATATATATAACGTACACTCAAAACTTTAACTAAGTTAGTCAGCATTCATAACTCCAACTTTTTTCTCTTTGTATCATTTATAGAGTATAAACTATTTTCAAATAAAATAACAGTAAAGTCTATTTCAAAGTAGGACCACTAAAAATCAATACCTTTGGGTATGCTATATAAATGCAAGAAATTAAGCTAATGCCACTACCAAATCTACCACTTCTAACTACAACTTCTTGTCTTTTCACTCTTTCTTTTCTCTCTTTTTCCTCAATAATTCTTCCCACTAATTTTATTGTTAAGCCATATAATTGTGATCAAAAGTTGATTACTTTGTAAGAACTATTTATAGTAAGGCATATATATAAGTGTTTACTATAGATAGTGCAGGAAAGAGTTTGTAGAGTGATTAATAGAAGATTAGTTAACCAAAAAAATGGGTGTTCAAGGAACTTTGGACTATTTGTCAGACTTGATAAGCAGTGCAAAGAAGGGAAAGAAAAGGAAGCAATTAAACACGGTTAATCTCAAGGTTACAAGAATTGATTGTGAAGGTTGTGCTATGAAAATGAAGAAAGCTCTTTCTGGTCTCAAAGGTAATATTATTATTACTATTATTATTTTTTGTTAAATTTAGTCTACCATTAATTAACAAGATTATGCATGTAAACCTTTTTTTATTTTTTGTAATTGTTTTTGTAATACAATTTGAAGTGTCATTTCTCATTTCTTGAATTGTTTTATACGTTCATTTATTTATATCAAACTAATATTAATGAAATATATAAGTAAAAACTCTCATAGCTATCATTTTTTCAACTATATCAAATTAAAAGTTCAAATTTTCATATCCGATAAATGAAGAAAAAGAAAAGAAAGAAAAAGGTGTGTGCCTTGAAGCTATTTTAAATTGCTATATAATTAAATTTCCCAATTAATCTTTTGCAAATTTATATTTTTCAAAACCACAAGCCCATGCTTCATTTACAATATTTTCGTGAAAAGGATTTCCTAATCTTATTTAGAATTATATTCTGTTGCATAGTCACTCCTACAAGAATATGATTATAGAACTCTTTTCTAGTTTAAATGAATATGCATACATGATATTATATCTCATATATAATCATAATTCAAAAAAATTCTATCCATCACTTGTAATGGTAATAATAAGTGGTTTACTGTGAATTAACTTATCATTAAACTAATTTAAGCTAATAATTGGAGATTAATTATGATTAATAGCAAAGTTAAAAAAAATGGATTTTCATTTCAGGAGTAAAATCAGTGGATGTGGATATGAAACAACAAAAGGTGACAGTGACAGGATTTGTGGAAGCAAAAAAAGTGTTGAAAGCAGCGAAGTCAACAAAGAAGAAGATTGAGTTATGGCCTTATGTGCCTTACAATATGGTTCCACACCCTTATATTGCTGGTGCTTATGACAAAAAAGCCCCTGCTAATTTTGTTAGGAAAGTTGAAGATTCTATGACTCCTTTGGAAGAACAATATACTACCATGTTTAGTGATGAAAATCCTGATGCTTGTACTATTATGTGATTGATTTTTAATTCTATGTTAGTTTAATTATATATGTATATATGCAATATGGTATGTAGTTTTTGATGGTTTTGTTTAATTTCTTGTTTGATCTGTAAAAATTGTTGGATTAGTCAATTAGTGTAGATACTTGCTAGCAAAAGAGTAGATGTGTCGGCTTTTCAGTGTATGTTAAGGCATCGAGTTCTTGATTATGGTGTTTTAAGTGCTCCCCTCGAATAGAATATATCCTTGAATGTAATTCTTAGTTAATTACTTGTAAAAAAAAAAAAAAATATGTTGTTCTATGGGCTTTATTGATAGTGTTATAATTTTCCTCTCGAGCAGAATATATCCTTCAATGTAATTCTTAGCTAATTACTCATAAAATAATTAAAAATAGAATTAAGATTTTAATGGCATATTGACATGGTATAATTGTTTTGTTTATTCATGATTGAGATTCAGTGTATACTTGAAGTTAATGATTTCTTGGTCTTGTTTATTTCCTTCTTTATTTTCTTAAAATGAAGATGTGACAATTGACAAGAGATATATTTCATATCATATACTTCGTACGAAGAAGCAATTATATAGTGATTTTATATTTTCATGTGCCAAATTAGCTTGTTTCTGATTATGATTGAACTGATTTCATACAGTGTATTTTACCTATTCCTAATGTTTACAAAGTATTTCATATTTGAGTTAGTTGCATAGTTTGTTTTGATTAACCTTGTAGAACAATATAAACAATTAACAGCGTGCTCTTGTTCTAAGTAGTGATTCATGCAAGGATCAATGATTCATTAGTCTCTCTACTTATCTTTCTGTAAAATAATAACATACAATGAGAAATAAGCACGTTTATTCTCAATCGTTTTAGTTCGAATTAGCCGACAATAAGTTCTCTTGGAAGTAGGGGGAAAGGTTAAAAAAATCCCCACTATTGTCTCTTAACAAGGTTTTGGATCTACAACCTCATGGTTTTAAGACGTAAATTTTTCTAATATGTTAAGCCGTGCTAGCTTGTTACGCGTTTAATTAATGTATAGAGTTGATGATGAATTCTCAAACGTGGTTTGTGCATAAGCAACAGTCTTTGATTGCTTGAAATCTTTCAAGATGGTCAAACACGTAATTACATACATAATCATATTTAGGTACAATATTAAGTTTTCAATCCTCCTTTAATGAGGATTTTAGGCCAATTGCGTATTGTTACTTGTACCAACTAATCTTAAAAAAAAATTGACTACTAGCAATTGATTGGTGGAGTGGTTAGATGTACGTATATCACATTTACGCTTGGATTGGATTTTGAGGGGAAAAAAAATTAGTCATTGACGAAAAATTATTCATTTTTCGGCTTCATTAGCACGAGAACGGTGAGATTTTGAAATTAAAAACAAAGTTAACTTAAGATTTAGAGATTTCATGTTTCCTAGTTGTTTCTTATTAATCAAGGTTTATTCCATACACGTACATACTACATACCTAATAACTTTATTGTAGACAAAGCTCATATTCGGGTTATGTGCAGTTTACATGATCAGATCTTTTCAATTTTTCTCATCGAATCTAATCTTATCTGATTTTCAAATTTGACCAAATTAACCTAATTTGTACACCAATATGTAAGATACAAAATTATCAAATGAGATTTCATTAGATTTGTATTAATATGTACTTTTCAATATTTTATTTTTATAATTTTTTTTAATACAAAAACTAAGTATATTCAACGATAATTAAACGCAAATAAAAAGGTAAGATCTCATATGATTTAATCTAGTCTGATCTGATTATTTTTGAAATAATAATTAAGAATTATATTGATATAATTAATTAAAATAATACAATTAAAAATCATAATTTTAAGAGCAAAACTCTAGCCTCCTCTCTCTCTCCTCGCTCCTAAACTCTAGCCTCCATTGTTAATTTTGAAGGGGTTTCCATCGAATTTCACCGGTGGAAAGCCCCAATCTTTATTTTTATTTTATTTTTTTACTTTTCTTTGTTTTTTAGGTTACAATAATGTCTACCTCGAAAGAAAAGGTTTAATTCCTTCGAAAGACAAGGTTTTTTCGATCTCCTTCGAAAAACAAGGTTTTTCAAACTCCTTCGAAAGACAATTTTTTATTTGTGCTTAATAGGGTCTCTAGTTTTGCGGGGCTACGATTGATTATGGCTCGAATTCGGGTTACGAAATCAGCACAAGAAGTTTCATTCTGACAAAATTATGAAGCGGCGACGGATCCACTCAAAAAGTTGTATGAGATAATGAATTGAGAATGTGCCGAAGTGTTATATCAATGTATTTGGATTCTTAGCCCTTCCCCGATTAATTCATGTTTGATTTTGTTTATCTGTTTTCATTATCGTTAATTGTCAATCGTAGATGTCGTATGACTTTATTTAATGAAATTTAATATCCTTTAGGACTTCTTTCAAAAAAAATTATAATAAATACAACTATAATAATAATTATAATAAATAATAGAAAAACGCAGTGCCAGTAATTAATAATGATAACAACTTAAATGAAAATTTTACAGAGTCCAAAAGAACATGGCCTAATACATGAATTTGAAAGTAATTAGTTACCTACTAAGACCCTATTCTCTTCACCTTATTTATGCTTAACATAAATTATTTATACTAAACTAAAATTATTTTTACTGAACTTAAATTATTTAAATTAATCTAAAATTATTTTTACTAAATTGAAATTATTTTTACTGCTTCTCCATTATATTTTAATTTCTGTAAAGTTAATGAATTTTACCAATTAAAGATTATTTTTAGTGAACTGAAATTATTTTTGTTGAACTGAATCTATTTTTATTGAACGAAAATTATTTTTATTAAAGTGAAATTATTTTTATTGAATATTATTATTTAAAGGTGAAGATCAAAGAAAAGTGCCTAAAAGATCTTTGAGATTACAAGGTAATTGTATGTATTCATTTCCATAGCGTATTTAACTAATTTCACAAAATTATTCTAGATACAAGGGGCTCAATTATCTAATCTAATTCATTAATATTTACGTAGATGATTTATTGAGGTTTGCTAGAGCAACTTAGATGTAACGTCGTAACATTATAGGTAGTATACTTGTATACTATGATGCTTAGAAATTCTGTTTAAGGTGAACATTTGTGACTTTTGTGTTTATAACCCTATTTTCATTTCTGAAACTTATAAACTTTTTCGAAACTTAAGAGGCATAGTTTTCTAGCTTTGGAAAAATCGTTTTCCCACAAAAAATAATTAACATCATATTTGACACTATGACAACCCAAATTATTATGTTTCTTTTTCTTACTATTTGTTTCTCTTTAATTAAACAAGTATGTCTATAATATTGCCTTTTTAAAGTGATTTTTTATATTTGTAGCATATACACATATTTCACTTTTCCTACTTCGTGTACTTGTAAATTTATCATTATTTCACCGCTTTTGCATTTCATATATATCCATTATTTGTTTTCAAGAAACCTAGATTGTATGAAGCTTGCAAAGGCTTTTGGCTAGCATTTCATATATATCGTTATTTGTTTTCGTGCAACATATCCCTAAGTTGTATGAAGCTTATAAACGTGCAACATATCCCTAACTTATAAAAAAGCTCTGATCTCTTGATAAGGCTTTTGACTAAGGGGCTTACTAAAAAAATACAAAGATTGCGAACCGCTTCCTCCGTTCCAGAATAACTGAGACATTGGATTTTTTTTCACAATTCATATATTAACTTTGACTATAATTTTTTACTAGTATAATAAAAACATATTTTATCATTAAATATATTGTTAGATAGATATTAATCTAAAGTTTCATAATTACTTTTATTATAATTTTTATAATATTTAATTATATAAAAATAAGGACAAATTAGTGCGTCGGGATCGACATGTGTGCAAAAATTGACTGTATCAGTTATTCTGGAACGAGGGAGTAACTGATTAAATTGTTAGAGTTTAGTATTAGACGGCAAACAAGGTTTTCTTATCCAAGAAGGTTTCAACGAGTCAAGGCGATAATATTCAATTTGCAAGCTTTTTGGTGTCAATTGTTTATTTTGCCAAAAAGGTGATGGTGAAGTGTAGAGATTTTACTAGCTAAACTTATTGATAAGGCCATAAGGGGTATTAATCTTTCAAAGAAAAAATGGTTTCATGGGATTTTAAAGGACTTTGGATGTTCTAAACTTCTAAAGTAGTAGTTAGGTAAACTTTACGGCCTTTTATACTTATACAAGATACGGCCATTTATGCCTACTAGGTTGTTTTTATTTTGTAGCTCTTTTGAAAAAAAAAAAAAAAAAAAAAAAAAAAAAAAAAAAAAAAAAAAAAAACCTCCGTCCTTTTTAAGTAGACATTTCTTAACATTTGCCAACGCCAATATTTCTAATCATCAACATGTAAAAAATATATTTTCGTCGTTTCTTTTTAATTAACACGTTTCTTTAGTCACGTTTGCCAATGTACAAATTCAACTATTAATATCTTTAATTACCCATAAGACAAAATTATAAAAAGTTGATATTTTAAAGATATATATATCGTGATGAATCTAATAAGATCCCACATGACTATATTTTTTATTACGTATAAATCACAAAACACGGTGAAAGGTAAGTGTATGATTTAAATAGTGTTAAAGTCAAAACGTATCAACTAAAAAAACGGATGAAGTATATAAAAAGACATTGGTATATTCTACACGATTCAAACAAAATCTCACTTAATTACGTGACGTACTATGTTTTATCATAATTATTAAATCACAAAAGCTAGTCAAAGTACAAATTTGTGAATAGTGCCAATAGTGAAAACGTGTTAACTAAAAAATATGGAGGATGTAGTAAAGTTGTTCAATGGATCGGGGCCTCATTAAAAGCCCTTAACGACTCAATCTTAATGATAAATTCTAATTTGTACACATTTTAGGTGCATATGTACTCTCAATTTCTTACAGATTTAGAGGTCTTAGGTGCATATATATAATATATTTGCATTATATACTTAAGTTGTGCTCTACTACTCTCCATTTGTGTGTTTTGATGAATTTCAGGTGATTTAAATGCAAATGGATTATGGTTGGCCAATCTTGAGTATAATAATCATGGAGTATGAAGCTATCTCGGTCAAGGATCTCAACTCATATCTTTGAGGCAAAATTGAGCTAGAATGAAGCAAAACATTGATGAAAGACTTGACGAATATGACTCTCGTTCACTATTTTTATGATAAATTTTGATCTAAGTACAAACGATAATGGAGTCATTTCAATTGCATTGGAATGTAGATTTCAAGAGCTTTTCAACGATATATTACACACCTCAAACAAACTCCAGATCTCAAGTTATGACTAATTTAAAACGAGCTACGCACAACAGAAGCGAGGCACGGACGTGCCTCATGCTGCCACATCCATGCCATGACGAGTGAGCTAAGGCACGTCCGTGCCTAAATGATTTTCGGACAATTTAGCCCGCTTTTAGTTTCCTTATTTATCCTAAACTCCTAACTTTATTATTTCATAAGCTATTAATTTAGAACCCTAGTTTTCTCTCTAGTTTTATTGTTACTGTATTTTTATTCAATTCAAGTATTATATTTCTTCTTCTCTTTCTTTTATGTTTATTTTATTTCCTTTATTATGCTAGAGTAGATTATTATTCTAGGGTTAGGTTGAACCCTAGCCATGATTGAAGCTTGATACATTCTTTTAAATCCTCAATTAATTGTTTATATTATTGTTCATGCTTAATTGATTGTGCTTATGCCGATACTAGATTAGAGATAATTAGTATTGTTATTATTATTTTGTTTTAATCACATTGAGAGTTGGGTTTTAACGGATTTGAATACATCAATTAAGGGTTTGAATTGAAGTTCATCACGAGAGTAGTTGAATGGATGATTAGGAAGCTAGAGTAATGTGCTTAATGTCTCGTTAGGGAAGCCATTGATAACTCGAGAGAGACCTTTGGTACTATCTAGGGACTACTTTTCCTTGTGAACATATAATTGATTGATTAGGGTAGAAATTTGTCTTGTATTGAATATGCTAATGGTGATATTTAATTTGAGAATTTTTATTATTTGTGACGTAGGGAGATTAGCTGCACGGTTCGACAAAGAAGTCCAGCGTCAGAAGGCTTGATTTGAATTTTTTAGTAGTCATGATTTCTACTAGTCGGGCTCCCGGAGTCAGATTGCTTAGTAAAATATATTTTCGAAAATAGAAACGGGCCAACGAGTCCAAGTCACAGCTACGCCAACGAGTCCAACTCAAAGGAGGGGAAGGCAAAAATGAAAGTGTGATTAAAAAAAAAAACCAAAATAGTTCGTCATTGTTCATATTAAATAGTGAATCGACATTCTCATTTATATATAGGATAAATAGATCATGCTTGAAGAAAATTTTGAAATCGCTTAACGACTAAATATTGCCGTATTAAATAAAGATTACCATGAACGGAATCATACTAAAATTGACCATGTTCATCTACACCCCTAATACTTGTGTATCACGCCACCACATTCCATATGGTAAACTAGAGGTTTGAATTTTTTTTTAAAAACTTCTAGGACATGTAATTAAACTACTAGTAGATGTTTTTCAGAGGTCCCTTCCACTCCTCCGGTCCTCTCCAAACTCCCAATGATTGTGATTCACAAATTTTGGTACACTAAGCTAAGGAGTCGTTCCAAAAGGAGGTTACATAGGTATTTGAACATACATATCAAGGGGCATGAGTGACATTTCACTTGAAATTTGAAAAATCCCACTCAGTAAACCCGTTTTAATCTCTGACACCCCGTTTTGTACTCGATTAATTATTTTATTTCTTATTCCTTGTTTTTATTTTTTGTTATCTCTCTCCTCATTTTTTTTATGTTGTTTCTCTCTCCTCTTTTCTAATGTTCTGCGATCTTCACCTCTTCTATTCTCACTTCTTCTCTAATCATTTAGTTTATTTTCCTCCTCGCTTCTTCCCACAACTAATGTTTTAATTTAAAATCCCACTCACCTATAGTTCTCAATCATTCAATAGCATGTTTTGATTTTTATTTGTTTGTCGTTGGTTTGGTTGTTCCCAGAAGTTGGCGAAGTGGCGAATTCCAGTTTCGCGACTCAAATTTAGGTGAAGCATAATTGTGTTGTAACATGGTAAGGTTTTCTGGCAATTGTTATTCTAAATGTGTTTGCCTATTTGTTTGAATTTTGTATTTGGCGTTAATTAAGGTTTGGATAATCTAATTTCGTGTTCTTAATTCAACGAGTATGGAAAGTGTTATCCTTGTTATAAAACATTGCTAGTTAAAGGACTTTAATTGTAAGAGTTTATAAAGGTCGAATTGTGCTACCCGATGATTGAATGAAGTTAGGGTGAACCTGAAAGAAACCATTTTTAGGGGTTTAATGCAGTTTGTATGTTTGTTTTGGCAATTTTTAGGGGGTTGAATGCAATTTGTGTGTTTGTTTTGGCAATTTGAATTGTATGTTTGTGGATAAGTTTGGCAATTTAAGGCAAGTTTTTCAAGTAAGTTTTTGGCTGAATAAGTTAGTTTATCATTGTTAAAAATATGTATTGTTAGGGAAAGAACGAGTATGTATAATTTAAAATCTATTGAAATCTGTTAAGGAGGAATTAGGGTTTAGGTTGAAATTGAAAGAATGTTGTTTATCAAATATCTTATCATGTTCATAAGTTGATTAATCTGTGTGATTGGGATTTAAAATTGGAACATCAGTTGTTTTGTTGATACCTGTTGTTTTACTGTCAAAGAGGGAAGGAGGATGAGAAAGTCATTCGTGCGATCCATTGGTTGGAAGAAGGGAGTGGTGAGTTATTCATTTTAAGTACCCTTGCACTTATGTCAATGAATTGAGAAGTGCCCATTGTTGTGTTAATGTTGTTTAATTGTCTGTGAAGGGTCCTTCAAAATGTACTGGTGTGAAGGGGCCTGGAGTTAAGGGGCTTTTTTTGAGGCCAAGGGTCATGCCCGTAGTAAATCCCAGGCTCATGCCCCTAGTAAATCCCAGGTGAAGAGGAAATCTAGGCAGCAAATAAGTTATGAGGATTATGAAGAGGAGGTTGAGGAGTATTATGAAGATGAAGATGTAGGTAGCAACAACAATCACTTCGATGGTGAAGAAGCAGATTTAGTTAGTAGTTCTGGTTTTATGGAGAACATGATGATGGAGTACATAGGGATGAAGTCGAGGAAAAGGAAAGGGAAAGGGGAACCTAGTGTGTACAAGAAGCAAAAGGTATAAGTTATATATTTTTGTACTAAGTACATTTAACCCATGTGTTGGTTATAACCCGGAGCGTGTTTTTTGTTTGTTGTCACAGGTTCCAAAACTTGAAGGTGACAAAGTATTAAGTAAAGGGGAGGTTTTGAAGACACACCATGAGAATGTAGGGCAAGTAAGGTATTAAAACATGAAGTACAGAAGTAGTTGTTATATGAATAATCTGTTAGTGTGCTTCAGTTTGTTTTACTTTTTGGTATGCCAATTATGTGTTTGTTGATATGCTAATTATCTGTTGGTGTGGTTTAAAGTTTGAAATATTATTGTTAATGTCCTTTTCTATGATGATGGTTCTTTTCATTATCTTTAATTTTCTGTAATGTATTAGTAGAAGGCTAATTGGAAGAATGTATTTAATCTTTACACAGTATCCGAACATCGTATGCCGTGTTGATTCATTTTGTGATTCTGTGAAGTTGTTTGATCCAAAGAGGAAAGACTTAGTACAGAAAATGGGGTTTGGTGGATTGCTTGAGTCTGATATGAAGAATATCCCTCAGCAGTTTTGCTATTGGCCAATGGCTAGAGTTCAAGAAGATGGGACAATGGTGTTTAGCGAAGGAGAAATTTTCCCCTTGGTGCAAAGCAAGTTAGATCTGTATTAGGCATTCCAATGGGTTTGAGACCCGTGCCAATGGAAATTGGTGATGATGAAGAGAAGATTAACTTGGTGAAATCGTTGTGTGATGCGTATGGAGCAGGGCCGAAGAAAGAAACTATTTCTTTGAAAGCCGCTTTTGTTGTCTTGTATCCTTTGGATAGTGAAAACAAACCTTTGCCGCTGGTCACAAAATATGATGAAGAGGAGCTCATGATAGCATTCTTAATTGTGGTCCTTGGAAAACTTCTATGCACAATGACCAATTATTTTAATTTGGCTGCCTCTCTAACTCCATCTTTGACGGTGGCAACTGAGGCTAGTGAATATGATTGGTGTACGTTCATTATCGAATGGCTTTGTGACACAGCACACCGTTTCCAAGAAAAGTTTCTGCGGGATGGCTTTAGGTCTGGATGTGGAGGTAGCTTTCTTTTTGTGATGGTGAGTCTTTAGGCTTGTTGGTGTTCTATTATTTGTTTTCTTGCACTAAGTTAGCCTATGAAATCAGAAATAAATTAACACAATTAATTGTTGTCCAGATATTTTATCTAGTTCACCTCCACCGGAAACTTGTGGAGTGGGGTGTGTTCCCAAGGGTCAAGGTGTGGAATTCTCTTGAGATAAGGGCAGCACTTATGGATGACAAGCTCACCCGGGACAAATATGGAAAACTGTTGGTAAGTGTTTCCTTCATTTTTAGAAATTGACAATGTTGAGTCTGGTTGGTGGGTACTGTCCCTTGCTGAGTTAGACTTGTTTGGTGTATGCCTTGGACAAAGCGTATGGTGAGGAGCATTCTCTTGTACTTAGGGATGTTGACTGCTTCGGGAGGACTGTTTCTATAGTCACTCAGCCATAGTAGTTGGATGATGTGGTGACTGAAGTCATGGAGAAGGTACAAATATTTTGGAATTAGTAACTTCTGTAATGTTAAATGGTTTGTAGACTGTCATACCGTAAGTCATGACATAATTGACCCCTAGGTTGGTGACCCTGGTTGAGGGTGTGGTTGGAAAAGCTTTCGGTGAGTTTGTCACGAAGATGACCATGGGTCATGATGTAAATGGTGATGACTTTTGTACAAGTGGAAGCCACCTAGCCACAGGGAGTAACGGACCGCGGGAGAATCAACATAATGCAAAGGTTGAGTCCAAACCCTCGGACAAAGTGGAAGCAGAATGTTCGGGAGATAATATACCAAAGGAAGAACCTAGGACTTCGAAGCTTAGTCCTCTCGAGAGGAGGCTTGTCAACTTTGTTCGCGGCTGGAAGGAATTGAAGAACGATAACGAGTATGTACAGACTTGACTGTCTAATTTTTTTGTTACAAACTTACCTTATTCAAGTTTCCCTTTTCTTCTTGGATTGATTAAAATGTATCTTAATTACTTGTGCAGTCCTGGTCCCTCCATAATTGAATGTGATGGCATGGACGCATCTCAAAGGGATTGTTATCGGGTTGTCTCCCCGAGGTGCCGTGTCAGAGATCACTATGTGAGGATGGCTTCTGTCTTGTATACCAAAATATGGTCAGCACAACACACTAGGAAGAGGATTATGATTGATCCTTCCTTTTCGGTGAGGGTTATGGTTATTGATTTTCATTGTCGGTTAACTATCTTTTTTCTTGTAATCTTATGTTAGATTTTGGTAGCATTTTCTAATGGTAGGGAAAGATGACTTCAAAGAGTTGGGGCAAAAGTACGCGAAGACTTTCCTAAGATATTCATTGGACCAAATTCAAAGTGTATGTGGGCAGTTTCCTGGTTTCTTCGTTAACATTTTGCCTGGTTGTGAAAATGATGTCTTTGATAAATTATTTACAACATTACATAGGTATTTGTCCCAATGCTAGATGCTTCCAACAAAAATGCTGAGCACTGGTTTTGCCTTGCTGTTGATTTTAAAGCGCAATTGTAATACCCCGTATTTTTATACGTATTTTAATTTAAATAAGTATTTCTTAAAAAGTAGTTAAATAATTCGAAATGAATTATTTATGATTTTTATTAATTTAAAACGAATTATTTTAATTAAAAAGTTTATTTTTAATTTATTTAATAATCTTGAAAATATTTTAATTTATGATTTGGAAATATTGGGGCATATTATTGTATAAAAAGATAATTTTTAAAGTCAATGGTATTTAAGGAAAGTCAAAATACTAGTTTGACTAGGAAAGAGATCATCAAGGATAGTAAAGGAATTTTAAGTAGGAGGGATATGAGAGGGGGTATAAATACCCATCATGTGCCTAAGGTGGAGTGCACCCAAAGGTAAACTCTCTCTATCTCTCCTCTTATTTTCTTTTCCCCTTAATTTTTACCCTTCCCCTTTATTTTATTTTATTTTATTTTAATCACCACCCACTCACACACCAGACACGCCGGCCGGCCACCACACACCACCACTGGCCGGCGGCCACCACCACCAGCACCCGCCGGCAGCAGCAGCCACCAGGCGGCGGCGGCGGCGGTTTACATAAAAAAAAACTTTCTTTTTGATTTTTAATTAAATCTACCTTAATCTAATTATTGTTTTTGGGTTTTGTGATGATTTTATGATGTTAAATAATATGTATTTTGTATATAAATTTTCAGATTTAATTTTGAATTAAAAAGCCCCAAATTGAAAACCCTAGGTTTCTAAATTAATGTATTTTGATGGAATTTGATTGTTGGTTGATTAAAACTATTGAAATTAATGTTTTTAAACTAAATTACAACAATTTTATAAGTTTTAATAATGCTGGAATTTTTATGTATAAGCTATAATTAAGTTTCTTGAAAGGATTTTTGATTACCCATTAATTGGGAATAAAAGTAAGGGTTTTTAATTAAATTTCAGATTATTCTAGAGGGTTACGAGTGATTTAAAGAGTGTATATATTTCTCGAAATTTGTGTGGAAGAGGTATTAATACTTCTTCATAATTTTGGTTTGTATGAGACTTTCAAGTGAGTGATTTTATTTAGCCGTGGCAATTTTGAGATCATATTCAAGGTACGTTCGCGTAGTTAGTAATTACTTGAATATGTAGAAGCATGCTAGGCTTCGCTTAATTAATTCCATGTAGTATCATGATAGGTGTTGGTTGGAATTTGTTGATTGGATTGATGTTGGTGAATGATTTGTGATGTATGAATTACTTTTGATGAATTGGTGATTGGAATTAATTATGTTGGCATGTTGGTTGTGAACCATACTTTTATTATTGGCATGTTAGAGAGCATGTTTAGTTAAACTAAATGTTTAATTTGGTTTGGAATATGAAAAAGGAAATTTTATTATGGTTCATATAATTTTTATTGATGCTTTAAGTATGGGAATTGAGCTATCAAGTGTCTTATTACACAACAATAAATTATATTGCGGTGCTTATGTGCACTTAAGGTGTTTCTAACATCGAGGGATAGGATTTGCGGCGCATTATGCGTTTAAGGTGCCTTTGAGACCGAGGTAGTTTAAAAATGGTTCAACAATTAAATCTATGTGGTCACTAATTATTCAAGAATTAATTGGTATGTTGGACTGCTTGGATGATTTATATTGTTTGATTGTGCTATGGTTTGAGAGTCATCACCAAGTATAATAGTATGTAAACAACGTAAAGGGAAAGAGATTACACACCAAAATCTTGGAACGTATATACCTTGAGTATGAACATATGGGGGGAGTTATGCGACTTTATATTTGACCATAACTTCTACTAGGAGAACAGGACGCTGTATTTTCCTTTTTATTATCTTATGCACAGGACGTCCAGTCACTTCACGTGACATTTGCCTACCCGGTTAGTTCCCGGTGTAGTTTACCTCAATTTATTTGAGGCAGGGATTTGGTTGGAAACTCGTTCGATGTGTAATCAAAATTTAAATGAACATTGGTATTGGTCTAGTTAGATGTTGATGTTTTGTATGCTTGTAAACAGGTGCAGCATGGTAAGTTGTGTGATGTTAGGATGAAAACATGTTAGTGTGTTTTTATTACGCTTATGTACTCAGCATTGCTGATTGTGTGTTTGTATGTTTGGCCTTATCTTTACCTTGACCCTACGACGACCCATTTCTAATGGTGAGTAGTGGGGACAAGTAGATAGAAGTTTTTCAGGTGATGAAGCATTTTCATGAAGGGCATGAGTGAAGAGCGAATCATGCTTAGTTCTCATAAGAATATGATGTGTTTTATTTGCTTTGAATATTATTTATTTTATTCTGCTCATAAGACTAACGCAAAGTTTTTCTTAATATTGTTTGGTTTAAAGGGCCTATAGTGGTTCCAAGTTGTAGGTTGACTTTGTTTGACTTAGTTTGACTGTAATTTCGTTTGGTTTGACTTTTTAAGTTGACTTGTTTTAAATGGTTTATAAAGATAGTCTTCCGCTTTGTGTGAGTCTTTGATATTTGCCTTAGCCGTTTTCACGGTGGCAGTAATGTCTTAGATTTTCCTATTTCATATTTTTAAAAGGGTAAAATGGGTATTTTAACGGAAAGGAATTTCTAGGGTGTTACAGCAATTGATATGGATGATCGATTCCTTGTACAATGATTCGTAGTCAACACATGAGACCATTGTCTCTCAGCTGGTAAGCTCACTTGTTTTTCTTACAATAAGGTGACCCTCCTATTTTGCTATGTTGTTCTAACCTGTTATGCGTTGCTATTCTGTAGATGAAGGCCTTAGGGGAGTTGGTGCATCTTAGTGATCCTACCTGGAAGGTGGGTACAATTTCAATTTGGCTGAGGAGGTCGTTTCCTGTGCAACAGTCAGACACGTGCGTAACCTTTTCCTTTAGTTATTTAGTGTATTTATTTTTTTAATCTTATTGCCAAAAATATAGGTTTGATTGCTTTGGTACTCATTGTATGACAATTAGGTGCTCGAGTGGTGCAATTATGCTAGCAACTATTAAACATTGCGCACGTAGCTTTGATGCAAATTTTCAAATGGTGAGTATTCGATGTTGCTGTCTTGTATAAATAGTTTTCGATTGAAGTTTGCATTTATGTGTTTGCTAAAGGTTTGACTTAAAAAATTGGAACCATTCTGTCAGGACAAAATATCCACCCTGAGGACCAATTTATTTCTGCAAGATGTTTACAGCGATTTCAACCAGCAGAAGCCTCATTTGGAGGATGTCTTGCCAAAAGATCAACGAGGCAGTAGGAGGACTGGTTCTCAAATGACTTCGTAGGGGTCCCGCTAAACAAAACTAACTTGTAGAGGCGTCTTAAGACCTATCAATTTTTTTCTTAACTATTTATAATGTGTCTCATATACATTTGCCCATACTTTTAGCATCACATAACATTGAAGGGGTACCTTCAATTGGTGCACAATGGTTGAGTTATTGTGGTTTTTCAGCAGTATGCAGCAAATGAATTAGGTTGCAAAGTTGTAAACAATGATGTGACGGGTCCTTGTTGAATTTCTAGATGCTAAATATAAGTTTTTTTTTTTTATGCAAATTAGAAGCATTTAAAAGAAAATTAGTTCATAATGTCCAATTTATAATACCATAGACCAACTACATTTGAAAAGAAAATAAGACCTAGTACCACACGCTGTAGGGAATTTTTCAAAACTCAGCTTTGAGCCCCAATGTGATCATGCTTTTAAGCAGGGTGGCGTCCAAAGGGAAGGAAGCTAGAGTTAAAAGAGTCGCCAACAAGTTTTAGAAACTTGTAAACCGTTCACGGGTGTGAAGGTTACAACCCATTCACGATCATGGAGATCGCTAACTCCATAGTGGTCCGGAACCATGACTAGATGTTCGGGGATGATGGTACGAATCTAACCTAAAAGAGATTCAACCCGCCCTAAACCGGCCTCTACTTAATTCTTATGATATTCATGTGCGCTTTCCGATCAACATACATACATCAAGTTAGCCCAAACCTATTTAATCTACGTTGGTTGATTATTAATGAACTAATAAATCTATTATTGGTGATCACTTGAATTAAAATCATATGAACCTAAATTAAATTATTAATTATCTTATTAGGCGTGAATTCAAGTACAAATCCCCTTCAAACCTGCAAGAAAGGGCGTGATCAAGCAATAACAATCAATCATGAATAATCAAGCAATGTATAATTAATTGACACAACAAATCATCATCATAATTATACCATCAAAACATCATTAAAAGATCAGCATGATACTAAATGGATTAACAACAAGCCCTAGCATGTCACTAATAAAAATCATAATCAAAGCATTAGCTTAAACATGATACTAGGAAGCATGACATTAGAAATATTAATTAACACCCTAAACATGATACTAAGAATCAAAATCAACATCCTAACATGATTCTATATCAAAAAAATAATTAAGTAATCGAATTACTCACTTTGATGCCTGGTACCTATTTCTATCAAAATAATACACGCGTTACTAAACTTCAAGAAAGATTAAACCAAATAAATCAAATAAGAATTGAATTATAGATTTGGGACCAAACCCTCAAAACTATCAACCTTTCCCGTCGAGGTCGAAGGCAACTTCGAGATTGGCTAGGAGTATTCGAAGCTCGTGATGGAGGTATGGTGTTTGATTAGGGAAAAGTATCAAGGATGTATTAGGACGTGTTTAGGCTAGGCTAAGAAAAGAATCAAGAGAGAGAGAAAAAATTAAAGAAGGGATTTGATGATGGTTATTGGTGATCAAGCTTGCTGATGATTGAAAACGGGGTGAAACGACCTGTATTTACAAGAAAAAAAAAAGGGTCGAAGGATTAGAAAAGAGTCAGTATCCGAATCGGAATAAAACGCTTCGCATCGCGGCGCGACAGGTCCATCGCAGCATGATGGTTTTGTCGTTCTGTGATGGTTTTCTAAAGATAAGAATTTGCACGGAATCCGATTTCCAATGGAATTGGGTTAACCAAATATTTGTACGTATTCTATTTTGATCGGGACTAAGATTATAAAAAAAGAGAGATGCTTTATCCAATATCAAATTCTTTAATTTTTATCTTTTGGGGAAATGATAAATTAGAACCTTCTAGAGGATTCTAGAAGCTCATAATAAATCCTAACGGATTTAGGATTGAAAAAAACCTTCTAGATGATTCTAAAAGATTGTAATAAATCCTAATTGGTTTAGTAATGAGGTTAAGGTAAATGGACCCTCCACATGGTCATTAGGTCGTAAGTAAGGCTTTGTTCGGGCTCGGTTTAGTATTTTGGCCATAACTTCTTTGTTATAAGTCGAATTCGGGCTATAATACATCGTTGAAAAGCTCTTTTCAAACCCCATCCAACTACATAATAATTGGACCAGAATTATGGAGTAAAATAGACTGGTTTAAATGTTTTATAAAGAGGACACGAAATGAATGATTTTTAAAGACACGAAATAAATGATTTTGGCTTAAAACATTTAGGGAAAGGTTAGAAATGGTCAAGGCTAAAGGGAAATTCACGAGACTCTTCAATTCTTCACCTAACTCAATAATCAAAGACGTGAAAGGTACTCTTCACTGGGTTTGGTTTTTGGGGAGACACAATTAGGTGTCCACAGAAGCCCCCACTTTGAATGAGTTTGGAGAAACATAATTTTGAAAACAAAAGTCAAAGTAGATCGATAGGGACAAAGAATGATTCAGAACGTTCTGTGATTCTAAATCATTCTTTATAACGCCGATACCTGCAGAAAGCGTCAATTCTACAAATAAAGGAGTTAAGAAACGCGTATCTTGCACTGTCAGGTACACGTCTCGGCGTGACATCAATTTTCTGAATCAAATTTGCTTTGCTTGACAAACTCCATATCTTAGGGAGCACCATCGAAGATGGCGGTGCTTTGCTATCTTCAAAATCAAGTGACAACCTCCACATCTTAGGGAATCTCATCGAAGATCATAGTGCTTAACCATCTTCAGATCAAAGGGGGACAACCTCCACATCTTAGGGAACGTCGTCGAAGATTGCAATGCTTAGCCATCTTCAAGTCAAAGAAAGACAACCTCCATAACTTAGGGAATGTTGTCAAAGATCGCAATGCTTAGCCATCTTCAAGTCAAAGAAAGACAACCTCCACATCTTAGGGAATGTTGTCGAAGATCGTAATGCTTAACCATCTTCAAATCTACTTGCCTCTACTCCTGGAAGTGGTATCTCCTCCATCTTTGGAAAATCTACTGTAAAAACCTCATCTCTTAAGGTCCAACCGAGCTTCAAATTGATTTCCGTGGAAATCTTCCATCTTAGGAATTCTTTGAGATTATGCTTAATCACTACTCAATCAAAAAACTCCACCAATACTTAGGCGGACTCAACCAATGCTTAGGTGTACTGAAATGTGCTCAACCAATGCTTAGATCTTACTCAAATGTGTTTAGCCAATGCTTAGGCATTCTCAAATATTCTTAGCCAACGCTTAGGCGTTCTCAATCAATACTCAAATGTACTCAGCCAATGCTTAGGCGTACTCAATCAATCAATAAGATGATCGTCATCAGGCCGATCATCAATTAAAATTGTAATCGGGCTGATTACTAATCAAATCAAATCATTTATCACTCATCACGATGCTCAAAAGGCTCAAATGCATAATCATCTGCTTTGGAAAGAATCATATTCTCATCACGAAGCTTGAGTAGATAACTCTCGTTCATCAAATCGATACGCAGGAATTCAAGTCTGACGTGCCATGTCAGGTTTCATCGCGTGACGACAGTGTTGTCGCGCCGCGTTGTTTCTGTCGTGCTGCGCTGGAATCAAGGTCAGACTCATTCTGCCCGTTCGGCTTCGTTGTTGTTGCTTGTGCCTTTCTACTCAATCAAATCGCCTAAAATCTCTTTTAAAGGTTACTCGTTCGTCAGGGACTTAGTGTACCTGAATCTATATTTTAATTAGACTATAGGACTTTGCTCGTATTTATAGCTTTCTTGAGGTTTACCCAAGGCTTGGTATACTCAACTAATTGTGGTTTCTTAGCTTTAGGTTGACTCAAGGCTTGGTGTTCTTAACTCATTGTGTGACTCAATATACTCAACTTGACTCGATGGGTTATGACTTGATGTGTGTAAACTCAACTCAACGTGATGACAACCCAATGTGCATGACTCAACTCGATGTGATGTGAGTCAATGTGTATAATCAAATCGATGTGGTGTGATTGTGTTGTGATTGTGCTCGTTCAACTTGAAAATGCAGAAAAGCAAAAATTTTCTGTCATTTTTGTGGAGGGTGCCGACTTTCTCCCGAAAAAGAAAGACGTGAAAAGGAAAAGAGGTAGAAGGTAGGTGAAAATCAAAAGGGGTGAAGCTTTCGAACTTCCTCAAGATGAATCAAGCAAGCGATGGTGCATGTTGAGTGAGCTTAATCAAGTGTATGCGTTGATGTTGCATCTCATGTTGAAAGGATTGTAGCATCCTAGACTATCCCAATTAATGATTCGATAATGAAAGTATTTGGGTAACTTAGGCGCGGAGGCTAAGTACTTCATACTTTGTGATTCGATGATGATTATGATGATGAGTGATCTAAGATGACAAGGCATGCTTCAGGGTTGTATCAAGATTTCATGAAAAAGGGTTCCTAAGGAAAGGATTATTTGGCTTGTATGTGTGATGTATGTGAAAGTGACACTAAGGTTAGGCTGCAAAGGCTAAGGGTGTGGAAAAAATATTTTGAGAAAAGTCAAATGATGGTGACTCTTAGGCTGGGTAAGCTAATGAAGTAGGGATCAAGCTCCCAAGTCTAGCTCTAAATGGATAGGGATGAGCATTGGAGAAACCTGATATGATAACGCATGAATGTGAATATGAGTGAATGCGTTTTTATTACGGCCACACCCCAATGTGAGGTTGCCTACGTATCCGTTAGGAATCAGGCCGAACGTAGCTCTAGCTAAACCTTGCACAAGTGTGTGTACACCTCAAGGAGGTCTTTCAAGGGTTGTAATGGGTTTAAGCTAAAGGTTTGAAGAAGAAGAAGGGATAAAGGCTCAAGACCCAAAATAAGCCCCCAAGGTGTGCAACCTTGCATTTGAATCTTGGTATTTGTATGTTTTAGATTTTCTCACTTTTGAACTCTCTTTAATTTGTTTTTGCTTTTGAGATTTATTCTCGAATTTTCTTTTGGATAAGTGTGGGAAATCCCGATCATGCGATCTATCACTCACTTGGCATTCATGTTTCTCAGGCACGATGCCGAACACTCGATAAGAGACGCAACCTAAGACGTGTTCATATCAAAGACATTGGAACACTTACCCTTTCCACACTTTTATTGCTTTTTAAACTTTTTGAAAGTTTGGTAAAAATCACTCAAGTTTTTTCACATGGCTTTGAAAATTGCATAAGTTGCACACCGTCCCATCCCAAGGTTAGGTAGATGTGGGTTGAAAAAAGAAAGGTCAATCGTTAGACGAGGGTCAAAGTGTTTTATCAAGAAAGGATTGTATATTCGAAAGGGATAGAGGTCGGTGATATAATATGGCTACAAGGAGTGCCTCAAATCATTGGTATACCTTGTGCTTAGTTTGGCGTGTGTTT